CGCCGGGGGGGGGGAGAATCGGTCGGGGTTGAAGTGATGGTTGCAGGTACAGGTGGGGAGGGAAGTTGATGAGGGCAGGTGGCAGTGAGAGGGGTTGGAAACAATGGGTGGTAGTAGTGGTAGTAGCAGTGGTGGCAGTGATAGTGCAATGTTTACCTAGGTACTCGAGTACTGTGTGAAGAGTGGAAGGAGAGGATGGTGCTTTGCAGCGTTGAGGCAAGAATGGAGGGAATCTGGGCAGTGTTACGAGTATACTGAGGTAGGTATAGGTATAGCATACTGTTGTATGTACAGGCGCGCAAAGGCAAAATGACTTCACCGTGCCAATTCCATACACTGTACCTCCTGTGGAGCACCCAGCCCGCGCAGTTACAGGGGGCGAGTCGGCCATTCGGCCAGTATTCGGCAACTTGACAGGCACTCAAACCAATTGTTGGGGTGAACCACGCGAGCCACGGAACTCCCTGAACTCTAAAAAGGTACACTTCGTCACTTACACGGCTGATATTACGAGAGCAGACTGAAACAGTTACTCAGTGCTATTTTGCCATCAACCGGTTACTAATTATAAAAGTTCATCAAATTACCGCACCAGAACATTCCAACGCAATCAAAATACCAACTTACTAACACACTAACATAACTCTACCTAGCTTTGCCTGTGCGAGACGAAACAAGAGCCGCAGTAAGAGCCGGCCAAGAGCCACCAACATCGCTTGGTTCAGCGTCAGTAACCAGCTATCCCAATCAACACTGACCTAAGCTTTCGAAACTGTTTTGCCTTTCCCCTCTGATCACAAGTACACTCACACATCAACGATAGCCAGCGAATCTGTACTCATCATTACATCACGGGACACGTTTTGCAGGTCCTCCCTCTGGCCCGTCTTCTTCAGCAAAACAACCTTAATCCGACCCTGACCTCAATAGCGGGGTAAATCAGCTACGCCTCTCACTCACTTCAAACTCATCATCCACGCCCCCGTGGGGTAAGACTTTACCTGAACCTGAAATCTTATAAGACAATACAAAAGACAATTCAAGGTCCAAAAACCCAATATCAACAAAGTCAACCAACCCAATAAGCGTAGATATCTACCCGAAGGGCCACTCCCAAAATCCGGGAATCCTACACCCACATACTCAACTCAGAAAGAGAACCCCAAATCCTTTCCAAAAACTTTCCAAAGCCCAGACCAAAAATCCTCCCAAATTCCATAGCACCATTTCAAAATCCATCTCAAAATCCATCTCGGGACCATCATCAAAATGGTAACCTCAACCACCCACAAAATCCTCATCATAAACCCCAACTCCTCAACCTCCATGAGCGAAGGCATCCAATCCCTCATAAGATCCCTCAACGCCGCCGGCTCAACCTCATCCATGATAGACATCTACACAGCACCCTCCGGACCACCCAGCATAAACAACGAAGAAGACTCACTCCTCACCACCAAAATAGTCTACTCTGATCTCCTTTCCACCAATAAGATATCCCAATACGATGCAATCTTAGTAGCATGTTACAGCGTCCACCCCCTCGTCCACACGCTCCAAGAGAACGCGGAAGTAAAAAGACGAGGCATCCACGTAACAGGCATCTTCGAAGCCAGCATCTCCACCTCCCTCGCCCTCACGTCCGCCTCCAATTCCCACTCAAAATTCGGAATCGTAACAACAGGCACGTACTGGGAGAAAGTGCTCTCTCAGGGCGTTCAGCAATTCCTCGACATCCCAGATCTGAAAGACTTCCGGAAATTCAAAGGCGTCCAGAGTACCAGTCTGAACGCCGATGAATTACATACCGCACCCCCAGCGCTGGTGCGAGAGAGGATGATGGACGCTACGCGACGACTGGTGAAGGAGAAGGATGTCAAGGTTGTTTGTTTGGGGTGCGCGGGGATGGCGGGGTTGGATGGGATTGTGAGAGAAGCTTTGGTTGCGGAGTTGGGTGAGGAGGCGGGGTATGTGCATATTCTGGATGGGGTGAAGGCTGGTGTGGGCGTACTTGAAGGGTTATTGAGGGCTCTTCCGCCGGTGAAGAGGGATGGTTGATTTGATGACTACCTGGAAGTGGTATCATCAGATGTCCCCACGGTATGTCGAAAAAGGCAAAAACGCCCCCTCGGTTATTTCGCAGAAGCGAGAACTGGGAGTCTGCTGGACAGAGAGAAAGGCTCGTGGAAGTCACCTTTTGAACTGGTTATGGGAGACTGAGATGAATTGTACGATTGTGATTATTAATGAGCATACGATAATAATGAATAATAAATATACCCTCACAAACCCTCTTAACCCTCCAGTATCCACGGTCATCTCATCTCATCTCTTCTCCTCTTCTCACCTCAACCCATGAAAGTAACCACCAACAAATAAGCTATATATACAACCACCGTCATCGCATCTCATCTCCCCACCCCTCTTCCATCCCCCACTCCCACCTTTACCTCCAAAGGAAAAAAAAGAAAAGAAGACTACAACACCTACCCACTTCTATACACCTAACTCACTGTCCCTACAACTAATTAATTCCATTCCATTCCTGTCCATTTCAAAATCTCCTCCCTTATCTCATCTTATCCGAAGACCAAGTCCACATCCTAAACAATCTACAAGAAACCAAAAGAAACTACAAAATCCAACTCCAATTCTAATTTCAAATTCACATCCGCTCAAACTCCTTCCTCTCCTCACCTTACCATAACTAAAAACAAAAACAAACACAAAGCATGATAAAAAAAATATAAACAAAAAAAGCACCTCCCTCCCCTTCCCCCCTAAACCTCAGACACAACTCAACCATCTACCTTCCACCACACCACACCATAACATCACCACAAACATTCCTCGTAAAACTTACCTAGCCGTATAATACACACTCTACTACCATCCCATCATATTCCTTCTCAAGAAGAGCTACACGACTCCCTCCCTCCCTCTCTCTATCCATCCCAGCTAATTCGTCAAACAAATTAATCGCAGAACCTGGGAACTATTATATAATATATACATGATACGTTAGAGTAAGATTCCATTTTGCTAGTAGAATCCTAGAATCCTAAATCTAATACAGTGATATAGAATATAATATATTCTTGAGAAGTTGAGAGGATTCGAAAATAACACAAAGTTTCAAAGGGAAAGGAGAGGAATAGCTGATATCGTACGCTACTGGATAAACATTTTATTAATATGTCCTAAGGAAATACATAAACAAATAAATGCGTAAATAACGCCTCCATCCATCGCCCTCCCTTGCCTATCCCCCTCTTTACTTTACTTCCCTTCACCCCTCTCACATGATAAAATTCTCGAAATCCACAAACTTATAGCCTAAAGCTAACAACGGTATCTTCCAAAATATATATGAAGAGAGAGAGAGAGAGAAAGACTTAAAGAGAAGGAGCAACGCTTCTCCCACCCCGCCATATTGCACTCATCAAAAGAGCGATGGACGCCAGTCTCAACCCCTTCCCTCTAACCCTTAACAAACTCCACATCCCCTCTCAAACTCAAACTCATTAACTCCTCCTTCCCCCTTTCCCTTGCCCCCTTCCCACGCAAACAACCCGCTCCCTAATACCCTACAAGAGACCCCAAAGCGCAGACAGACAGATACTCCACTCCATCAGAAACCAACGAATGAACAAACAACAAACAACAATACAATTTAGATACGATATTACATATATATATCTAAATCCCACCCCTCCATAATCAAAGCCCCATAACAAGATCTCCTCTCCTCTCCTCTCTTCTCGCCTCCTCTCAGACTCTAGACCCACCAAGTTACCAACCTGAAGAAACTCTCAAACCTACTCTACCAACTCAATTTAATATCAAGTACCCAGTGCAACCAACGACAACCCATCAAGTAAGTGAGTGAGTGAGTGAGTGAGTGATAGGTCACAAGAGGAAGTTACTGTGGGAGCTACTAACGAACACCCAAATAAAGAAAGAGATCAGGTAATATAACTACGAAATCATCAAAATTTGATTGGACTCCGTAATCAGTTATTACTCCGGAATCGAATACTCCGTACCCCTCAGTGATTAATTGAAGAAACCAGTGAATAAATTACACTACCAAAAATAGCAGTTTTTCACTATCCAATCATCACAGTATTCCCATTACAAACACCTCTCACTTCGCTAGTCCAGATATCACAACATCACATCAAAACCAGACCATGTATTTAAAAAAGACTTTCTATTGACTTTCTCTTATAAAAAATAAAAATAACAAAAAAAAAAACCTGCCAAGACATAAAAAAAAACAATCTTTCGCCATCACATAATTGAGAAAAAGAGAGTCAAGGACTCATTCCTTGACCGTCCTCTCGAATTTTAGGTATCCATCCATACAAGTAGACAGATCAAACAAATGAAGCTTCTTCCAATCCATTAAGGGTATGTAAGAACCGTATGTACACCAACAAAATCAATTAACCAAAAGGATCATCTTAATCCCATCCTTATAGTAAGGCAGCACCAAAGATGGTGAACGCAACCACAACACCACTAACGATGAATGGCTGAGAACCCACTGGACCAGGAGCGCCACTCTTCTTGGTACCGTTAGCAGTTCCAGAGGCAACAGCGGTAACAGATCCAGATCCTGGCTGAGCAGTCCCAGTAGAAGTTCCACCAGCGTTTTGAGATCCCTTTCCAGTAAGACCAACACCCTTTCCAGCACCGGTCTTCATGTATTCAGCAGCAGCGCTTGGAATAGCTGGTAGGTTGTCGTTCTCCACGTCCCAGTTGGCAGACTTGGTTGGACAGTTGGAAGCTCCTCCAGTAGCATTGTATCCACCGTCATCAGTTGGGCTGGGAGTTTTGGCCAAGGCGGCTTTCAAGGCGGCGAATTCTGGTAGGTCGGTAACACTGCCTCCCTCGATCTTGACAAGACCATACTTGCTTCCCTCCTCAGAGTACTCGTAGGCGAGACCACCAGAGTAGACTCCGGTCATCTCACGGCTGAAAAGAGCAGCAATCTCGTTCCATTCACGCTTGTTGGTGTTGCAACCAAACTCGGACAAGCTGGGATGAGATGTTAGTGGTGTTGGTATATTTAAAGAGGTCAGAAGACTTACAAAAGAGGAAGACCGTAACCAGTGAAGTTCTTGACCTTTTGATCCCATCCGGAGGTGGTAAAGGTAGAAGGATCACACCAAGAGTAATCGTTGAAAGCAAAGAAATCACTTCGCTCATCATCGGTACCACAATTCATGTATTGGGCCATCTCGAGACGGTTGGAGTTGACATCAGCGGCAGAGTAACCGCATGGGATCTTACGGTATCCACGGCTTCCAATGTATTGTCTCATATCACGGGTAACAGCCTTGACGTATGGAGCACAGTTGGTGGTGACATCGTCGTTGATCACCTCGTTACCAGAGAAGAAAGCCAAAACGTTGCTGTAAGCAGCAAAAGCATCAATGGTGGCAAAGATGTTTTGGAGGTAGACAGCGTTGTAGGAAGGAGCTGGGGTGGCTCGGTTGATCGAGTACAATGGGGTGTTGACATCGAGAACCAAGTAGATACCAGCGTCGGCAAGTTTTTGCATACAAGCATCGTGATTGACGGAGTTATCAACCGTGTAGATACGCACGGTGTTGAGGCCCAAATCCTTGAACTTGGCGATATCACGGGCGCAAGTGGTCTCATCTGCGAGAGGGTCGACCAACTTGGACGATCCGCCTGGTTGCCAATCCACACCACGCATGTAGAATCTCTTGGTACCTTGGAAGAAAGCTGTTATGACGTTAGTTGTCGAATCCTGTTGGAAGTGATGATGCCTTTGATGATAGCTTACCATTTCCCTTGACGGTAATGGCCTCAAGAGTAGCTCTTGGCTTCAAGTTGTTCTCGGTAGGCGTAGGAGTAGCGAGGACGGCGGCAGCAAACGCTGCCATGGCAGTGAAAGTCTTCATCGTGATGATTTGAAATTACCAATCTGATAGATGATTGTATTTGGGGGTGTTTTGGAGAGTTGCGGAGTGGTTTGTGTTGGAATCAATAAAAAAATGGGATTGGGTGAACGTCTCGAGAGAGTGAGAGATCGTTCGTGAAAGGGGCTCCAATTAGAATTGATATTAGAAAGGCAACGTCAAACGAATGGTCGTGCCGGGCAGAGAAGAAGTTGTCGTTGAATGGGGTTGAGATGTATTTAGAAGAAGGGATCAACAAGAAGAAAAGAAGAGGAGGGAGAGGCCAGGAGAAAAGGGATGCTTGAAATCCATGTGGCAGGGGGGGCTGGTCCCTGAGAGTGGGTGTGGGTGTGTGAATAGGCGCAGGTTAAAGCGAGGCTGGACCGGGGTTGGCCGGGGTTGGCTGGGGATCACTGGAGGAAGCTGCGAGGGAGTGGGGCCGTGTGCTCTGGGCAGGCTCGTAGGTTCGGCAGGGCAGGCCTGCAAGGTTGGCAGACGGGTGTCCATAGTGGGCCATTCAGTGCTCCGTCAGGCAGTGACAGGCAGTGACAGGCAGTGACAGGCAGTGACAGCCACTGCAGTGAGTACGAGTAGCGTACTTGTAGGCAGTGGTTGATGGCGAGTCGGTCGCGCTTTCTATTTTCAAACATACTTCCCAGTATCTGCAGAAACCGGTACGAAGAAGAAAACACGAGTCTGGTGCGCGACGACTCAGACTACTCCCCGTACGACCACATCGATCGCCTCTAGTATCATCTTGGTGCCACAACAACACTTACTTGATACACTTCACACCATTAGTCCTCCCACTCCATACTTGACAAGTTGACCGTTGGTTTAGACTCATTGGTATCAACACGCGCCACCTGCCAACATCAACAACGCCCCTCCCATACATCATCCAGCTCCATCTCTGATCTCTCCTCGACGTCCAAACATCATCGTCATCCAATTCCACCCGCTCTCGGCGCAATCAGAGTGAGATTCCATGTCACGTTTTGGCCCTGAAACGGACAAACCCCTTCAACACCAACCAGTGTGTATCTATCATCCTCTACTGATCCCACGCAGCCACTCTCCTTCAGGGCAATGGAGTGAAAAGGGGGTTCAGATTCCCTGACGCGGCTGCACGTCGGAGGCAGTGCAAATTACCCCTCACCGGGATGATCAACATCATCAGCAAACCGCCGTCATTGTCGTTCAATTGACAGTACGGAAGTACTCGAGCACTTCGTAGATCAGATCCATTGATAAACCTCACACAATCCCTTCTTCACTTGGGAAATTTCTTTGTGGCTACAGATATTCCGGTACTCGAATCAACTCGAATGGAGAATTCCTGTTTTTTCCCACTGCATAAACTCTCCGGGGAGTCCTTTCCAAGATGATCGTTCCAAAGCTTGAAGTTTCTCGTCAGATCTCGCCGATTCTTGGTTTCGCCTTGGATAGAAAATTGGGTACGGGCCGTGTTGGCATTCAACGATTGGCATTTTATTCTTGACTTCATCGTCAGAAGACGATCTCACATTACGCGCTTAGTAGACTGCAATGCTCTCTTCCTGAATCCGAATTGGGAGGGGAAAACTCACGAAGGAAGATGACATTCGCTTTTATTTTCGGGAGTCTTCCCAAGTTGGCCCTTCTAGCTTATCATCCCGGGAAACTCAAAACGCCAGAATCCTCAGGTTTATATATATCGTCAGCTATTATTTCGCAAAACTTCCCTGGATCCCTTCGACCTGTGGTGAGAGTAGCATTCTATCGCATCTCTCTCTGTGATTGGTTGTCGAGCGCGAATACATAAATTGCTTACTACATCTCAGCTGGCTTCGGGTAAGACAAAGTGCTCCTTCTCTCGTACTACGAGCGTGCAAATATAGAAGTACGAGCTCCTCAGTTTCAAACGCCAAGTATTAGATCTCAGTCTTCCTCAAACGTCGCCTCAAATCTCTCTCCTAAGGCGCATCACTCTGGCCGCAAATATCTTTCCAAACTACTCCGTATTCAAGATATATTTTTATATTATTTTCTCAAGACGAGCTGTTCGCCTTGTCTTGTCACCGCGTTATCGAAAACCCGAAAATACGGCAACGACCAGGAGACGCCGGTTTCATCCCCGGATTTTCAAACTCTTTTCATATTTGTTCATGATATGTTTGAGAGACCATTATCAAGTGACGGGCCATCATCAGGCATGGACCTTTTAGACATCGAGTGAGCGCCAGGTACAGGTAGCCTTACGACAGGTTCATGGCTCGTGCGCAGATATTGTAGTCAGCAATATGATTAGCAGGTCATGCCCCAACGGATTTGGAATTAGCTTCATCTTCTCGGTAGCGGTCAACGGAAGGTTAGCTGATTGTTTTGCAAACCTTCGTTTATGGATGTTTTGCTGGGTGTTTTGCAGGAACATACTGATTTCAGACGACGGTGTTGAGATTGGATACTCAAAACACAGGTACGCCAACACCTACTACCGTAACACCCTACAAGAGAGGTCTTGTATTTTTCACACTTATTGGAGAAACTCCATGGGTCACTCTGTGGCTCCATTCAATTATCAACTATTTATCGCGGCCTTGTTCGGCTTTAGGTTATCGTTTTTATTAGAGGAGAGTCTAGACTACACTACTAATCAAGCCAAAATATCTCCAGGAACCAAGCCTTCGACTACCTTCAAAAAGCCTCTCATATTTTGGCACCACAAAAACAAAACAAGAAAAAATGAGAGACAAGAATACAAACCTATCGTAGGGAGATATGTTTTCATTCCGATATTTTATATATCGAATCTAGGAACTTACTCCTCTAGAAAATGTTACGGAAAGGCTTCTTCTCTGCGCAGCTGAAATACTTCAAGGAGGTCTGGAAAGTTCTGTATAGAATGGAGTTCTAGATCTTTCATGATATCGTGTTCGAGATGCCGAAAGCTACTCATTATACTCATCCTACTCTACCCTTCTACCTATCTGTTATTTTAGTAATTACCTACTTATAGCTATCTCCGATATCCTATCTATATCTATTCTAACGTCCTAGCCAGACTATAGTACTAATAAACAAACTCCTTCTCCTACTCTAGGTGCCTTATTGTCTTCCATTTTCCATCTTTTATTTTCCATCTTCCTTTTACAAGTTCTAAGAATCCTTTCTTTGATTTTTTGAAAATGTTTCAATTTCCACCTATATAATCCCCGACCGAGGTTCATGAATACTCACCTAAATTAAGCTGTATAACTATGCTAGCTATACTAGTCTACCGAGAAGTAAGGACTTTTCTAATGAGATCTTATTATACCGTACTCTTTCTTTCCCACTCTCATTCTTCTCTACCCTCTACTATAATACATCAATTAAAGCCATTATAATCTACATACCAAAAAAGAATAAAATAACTTCAAACCATGCCTCTCCTCTCCTCTCCCATTCTCCCTCTCTTCCCCCTCTCCCTTTTCTCCCTCTCTTCCCCCCTCTTTCTCATCTCATCTTACCAACACCCTCCTTAAACCACAAACCAACCCCTATCAAGAACTCTCCAAGAAAGCCAACCACCCCACAAAAACCATTCCCCTCTCCAACTCCCTCCGTAAAACCCTCCCTCCATCCCCCATCTCCTTCCCACCATCCAACTCTAACTCCTTCTCCTCATCCTCTCCACCACCATCCAACGCCCCGAGATCGAGGACCTCGAATTTCAACCGTTCAGCTAATTCCTTGACATCCTTCTCATACGCATATCTCTCCCTCTCACCATCATCCTTGCTCCCATACACGCCCTCACCGCCAACCCCAGAACGCGCGAGTTTGTGGAGATGAGCAGCAGGATATGGAGGTGGTAAATACAAAACCTTGATATTCCTCCTCGCCTCTCGAACTAGTGTACACCACTCTTCTAACGCTTTCACCGTCTCGTCTCGTGAGAAAGAGGGGGGAAAAGAGAGGAGGAGGGGGGTGGGTTGCCAGGGGTTTTGCGTGGTGGAGGTGAGGTTTTGGAAGGTTTGGATCGTATCTTCTCTTGTTCCTTTTCCCGTTTCTCCTGTTACTGAAGCATTCGAATCCCTATTCCATGGGAGGTAGATATTCCTCGTCTTTATCCGCTTCTCTATTCCTATCCGTCCTCCTTTCCCTTCATCTCCATCTCTATCCCCATCGCTTAAGCTTCTCCGGAACTTCTCACACATCTCCATAGTTTCGTACTGGGCTTCACAAGCGCATTTCGCTTTCTCTACATCACCCATCAACGAGGGACGGAAAGAACCGAGTCTCAGATCTTGATGCAGGAGGATGGTGAGCGTGGTGTGGAGATTCCGGACTGTCTCGTCGCCGATGAAGAGGATGGTTGGGAAGCGGGTGAGGAGGAGGGAGAGGCGGGTTGTGGGGAAGTAGGGGGGTTGACAGTCTGTTTTTGTGAGGTGGTTAATAGGATGTGATTTAGACATTGAGGGTAGGGAGGTGCGAGGTGATGAAGTAGGTAGGAGGAGGAGAGGGGGGGTATGCATACCGATTTGATCCCTCTCATTAACCGAACCCAAGATATTCCTCCTCCTCGTACAAAGCCTCAGCGACCCATCGTGATGATTCTCAAAACCAGAACCAAAATCAAAACCTCGTAGCCCCCTCAAAGCATCAAGGTCAATACCGCAATCACCCCTTGTCAAAACCCCATCAATCGCATCTCTAAATCCAGTATGATCCCTAAACCCTGTTAGCCACGAATACACATACACATACACACAACCACCTCTCCTCCCTCCATCCCTTCCACCTCACCCCCCAACACCAAAAAAAGACCCCAATCAACAGACCACTAACCTATACCCATATCCATACCTCTCACCTCCTCCCATCGCCCTCCTCCCCTCAACATCCCCCCCATACCCACCT